TTCTTTCCATCGTATTTCTTTCTTGAGGAATGATTGCTAATCTTTTTCGTGTCAAATTTAAATTTCTTTAATTTATGGGAAACAAACGAGATTGAAACGTTTTTACCATGTTGTTCTAAAATTTGCACTTGGATTTCTTTTTGAACTACGGCATTGTTACAGACCACGGAATTAAATATTGTCTGTTCAATGTTTGTATTTATAGAATTTTTAATTTTATACGTTCCTTTTTGTTTTTACTGTAGATGACGTGAAGAGTATGTTATTATCACTATTTTTTAAAACACGACTAACAGCATTTCGAGTTTAATTACAAGCGTTGGATATTTCCTTGATTGAATATTTTTCACAATGTCTCATTGAAATAATCGTATCTTTACTTTCTTCTGTAATAGTTTTCCGTACTTTTCTTTCCATTGATATTTAAAATATAAGTGTTAAAATTAATTTTATAAATGCAATTATAACTTTGCAAACGTGCACATATAACTTTGCAAAACTCTGTATTGCAGCGGCTGCTTCAGCTGCCATCTTATCCTTGTCAGTTGTAAACTGAACAAACATATTATGTGAATCTTTACGATATTTGATGACATGTGTTAACTCATTGAAAGAAAAGTCTTTTTGATTATATTCTTTTCTGCGGGCTAAAAGTTATGATTTTTAAAATGAATCAAAATTGGAACTTTTATGCTCACCTGCAATTACCCGAAGTTTGCTTCTCTAACTTATATCATCAAAATCTTTTTTTGTTTGGCCTTTTATATTTTGTGCCAATTCCAATAATAAAAAGTGCATTTCAAACATTTGACTTAACCATTTTTAGTGTTTCTTTTAAAAAAACTGTGTTTCATAGTGAATCTCTCCAAAGTCTTTGGTAGTTTGATTTAACTCCATTTAGCTTTTTTATCATTTTTTTTTTTTACCACCACTCATACAAACTCTAGAAATTATGAAAATTAAAGCATTGTTTATACTTTTTTATAAAGAAGCATTTCTTTGTAAAATTCCAAGCTATTAAATGATGCATCAATTGCGTTTGTAAATGCAGACCTTAATTTCACATAAAATAGCAATGTTAATTTAGAAAACCGTTATACTTTCTAAATATAACATTCTTTATACTCTGCCAACTCAACTAAAGCAAACATTTTTGATGTATACAAAGTTGTACACATCCATGTAGTATGATGAAAAGCCCCACTTTACATTTATTTGTTTTGCATTCAGTAATTGCATTGCAAGCTGGTAACATTTTTAATAACCATCTCTTATTATTTTTGGAGACTTTCGGCTAAGTAAACCAAATAAAAATATTTTTTATTCCGCTTGTTTGATCTTTAATACTGGTTCCTCCATTTTAATTTTTCTAAAAGCAATATCCGACTTAAATGAAAGTTTAGATCATACACATTTTTAAAGTGTTTAAATTGATCTTTATTTGGAGATCAACATTATCCAGAAATCATAAATAAACAGATTACAAAACTCCTTCTAAGATATGGTGCCTACAGATATACCAAAGTAACTTTTTAATGTGTTCTTTGATTAACTTTGCAGAACCATTTATCTTTCCTGTATTTTATGGAGTTGAGTCAAAAACCATTGCCACAAGTGTTTTTATTGTTTCCAGGCCTCTAAAGCATGTATTGTTGCTGTTGCTTGACTTTTTCAGTTGTATCTGGATTCCATGAAAACTGCTGTAGAATTTTATTTCATGATCTGCTGGCAGTATTTTTTGAGATATTTTATCTAAACTGTGACCTAACGATTCAGCTACAGCTAAAATGATCCTAGATCTTTCTCTGTTGGACTGATTCAACTTATCAGCCATTAAAGAAACTTTAGGATGTTATAATAACCTAATTTTTTTTTTCCTGTCTAATAAAAGCAACCTCTTTCTTTATGTTGGGTTCTTCATCGTCAAATTCTGGCAGGTCATTGGATCTACCTTTGTTTATATTTTCTTTTCTTGATTTCTCTTTATCAATAGCTTTTTTTTTCTGTGATTATTTTTGCTGCTTTCTTCTTACTTTTATAGTATAGCTGTTATCTAATGAACTCAAAAATTATTTTTTTTAATTGACACAGATTTTAGAGAAAATCTAAATCTAATAATTGACTATTGGTGTCATGAAGGGTAATTTATATAATCAAATCTTCAGCATTTGATGTTGCAATATCAAGCAGAAATGACAACTTATTATTAAAACTCAGGAGTTAAACCGCATAACACTTTTTTTGTACATTCTAAATCAAGATTTCTCTAAGATGTATTAAACACAGTATGGTTTTTTCAGTATTTGTTTTTGTTATTTATAAATTGCTGACGTTTACCAAAATACATTCACTTTCTTACAAAAGATAGATGCAACTTCTTTCTTAGCAGTTAGTTTTAAAACAAACCTTGTAAGGTATAGATGATGGCGTAAAACCTATACACTAATTGATAATTGACTAAATATCTTTGCTTCAAAGACAGGTTATAACTTTGTAAAATTTTATCAAACATCTCGTCATTTTTTCTCAACTTAATATCGCTAATTTCAGATTGAGTTGCATTTTTACTGCATTCATATTAAAAATATCATTACTTCAAACTTTGCATATAATTGTTATAATTTAGTATTTTTTGATAATAATGAAATGAAAAATTGGTTCTTAAGTTAAATATTTTATTTATATTTAGTAATATCATCTGATATTACTAAATATAAATAAAATGATAATTACTAATATCATCTAATGTGTTGAATTATAATAGCATCAAAGTTGCTTTACATTTTCTTATTTAGCCTAAAACCACTGTTTAATATTCATTAATTATTGAAAGGTTGGCCACAGAGGAGTTAAATCTTTTAAAACAGAGGTATTGGAGGGGATGGGGGTGAATTTTAAAGTTTTTATGAACTTTCTTATTTTTGCTTTCAATAATTAAAAGACACAAAAAACTTTTAATTGTTTCAGAAAACCCTTATGTACATTCATTAAAGTTCCATGCTTTACAGCAGTTAGGTTATATTGCAGTAAATTCGAGAGCGCTAAAAAATTGTTTTAAAAAACATTACAGTAGATCGAATTCTGACTTAATGTAAAAAGTTTTAGTTGCTGTGTTGTAGGGTTTACACTAATTTAAGATTTTTATTTACTTTTTTGCATGTTTTAATTTGAAAATAATAAATATCTTTTTCATATTGAGGTAGTTTTCTATTTTTATATGGATACAATTAAAAAACTCATTACTTTTAGAAATTTTGACAATATTATTTAATTTTATTAATCTCATCGTCATTATTTTATCGCTATTTAAATATTTCTTAAACTAATAAGTTTATTAAATTGTTCAATTATTGTTATTTCTCCATCACGATATAGACTAAAATAATCTTAACAATGTTGTGAAAAGTTAAAACAAAAGATTTTTATTTACATGTATACTTCTGCGCAAATGTGAAAGCATCAAAGAGCTTTTTTTCTTAATTTTTCTAATTAAAAAGTGTAAAGTTTCTCACATGTCTAATGAAACGGTGGTTCATTCAAAATGAATTTCTCAATGTTTTATGAAGTAATGATTAGTAAAAACATTAATTTAACATTATTTTTAATTGAAATTATTTCTTTGTATTTTATACTTGTGTAGTTTTTGTTGTCTATCACAACAAAATTTATCTTTCTGTACAATCCAGGTTATGATAATTTTAAAATCATGTTATTAAGTCATTTTTTAAATTTTTAAGTGAATTTAAACTGAGCACTTGCAGTCAGTCATAATAAATCAAGTTTTTAAAGTCTCTAAATGTCTCAGTCAATTGTCTGTATATATTTTCAATAAATTTTGGTATGGCAACCAATATAGAGAAACTTAATATAAAATTGGATATGTATAAGTGGTGAAGCTCAAATTTTCAGTTCAACTGTTGAATTTCAATAATTGTGTTACTAAGATATAGTAAAAATTTTTTTTTCGTGTTGAAGTTTTAAAAATTAATTAATTAAGTTTAAAAAATATAATATATAATAACAATACTTTTAAGTAATATACAAAATGAGCTTCTCTATTTGTTTATTTTCTAATGTTAGAATGTATTTATTGTCTATAGTAAAGTATTATTTATTGTAATATTTGAGGATGCGGCAAGTGTAATATTTGATTTCTAAATTTAGTTGTAAAAAATGTACTCATTTAAACAATTAGTGGCAAGGGGTTACGGGTTAGGGGTTAGCCAACTAGAAGTTATGGGTTAGGCTAAAGCATATGAAGGGAGTGTGGATGTGTGTTTATGATAGTAAATACTTATGTATTTGGTTAATATTCTTAATAATTTTTCCTAAAACTTGATTTCTTTCTCATGACAGGACTAATGATACGGGGAGGCCCGCTTTTTTTTTTAAGGATTATTTTATTATTGCCTAATATAATGTTAATATATTGTCAAGTATATTGTAGACAACTTGAGTTTAGTGTAAAAGTTGGTTTATATAATGGTTAAAAGTTTAAAGGCATAATAGTTAAAAAAATATTAAAAAATTGGAAAAATCTTGGATATTTATAACTAGTTTTTGAAAACATGAAAATGATTTGAGTTTGTAAATAAAAAATCTTATGATTTACAAAAAAATTCTTTTACTTGAGTGAAAGTCATTATCACTACCATAAAGCTTTTAGTTATTATTATATAAGTCAAAAACAAGGCTGACGATACGGGTTTTGAAGTGGAGGGGCACAATCTTCAACTTTAAAAAAATTCCTCTTAATCTGTTTAGAATTTTGTTAAAAATAAAAAGAATTTTTTTTTCTCTTGAAAAAAAAAATTACTTGAAAAAAGTGTGCGTGTCGTCGACTCTGATAAAATTTATTAGTTGTTAATAACAATAAGCAGTGTAGGTAGGTATAAAGTTTTTAACTATATTAAATAAATCTATAACATGATTTTTTTAAGCAATAAGTAAATTTAAATTTTTAATAAAATAATCTGATTTGAAAAATATATATTTTATAGCACTTAATCGAGCAAGTGGCAAAGTTTCTTTTCAACCTGCAACATATTTGAAGTACTACCTGTGGGCTCCATACATGCAATTAAAAATAGGACGTCCAAATACCACGTGTTTTTATTCATCTTTATATGAAAATTGGGCTTCTTTTACTATTCTTAAAAATTTATTTTATCCAGGCTATGTTTCGTTTCTAGTAACAAATAACATGACAGATTATTTTTTAAGAAATGATAACAATACCTCTATAATTTTGGAACCACTAAAGAATCTTGATTTATACAGAACTGACGCAAGTTTTAGACTTGTGAAGATTGGAGTTTGTAAGTACAATTTCAGTATATAAAAAATAGAGTGTAAAAACTGATAATTTTAAATATATGTAAATATATATAATGTTTGGCGAATATCAAAACAATTGTGGAAAATTAATTAAAAAAAAAAAAAATTAAACTATAAAAAAATTTGTTTTGGCTTAATTCCATTAAAAATTTATCGTAATCAATGTGGAAAAAACCAACGAAATGTTTATTAAACCAATTTTCTATAAATTGAGTATTTTAAATGATTTAATTTTTAAAAATGATAAAGTATAAAATACAATTTAGCTTTCTTAGTTCCTTTTTTTTATTTTTCTATTTTACTTTAAATATTTCTTATGTAAAAGGAAATGAGTAATTAAATTTAGATTATAGCTATAAAACTCAAAATGTGCTTGAGTTCAAAATAGCGTTTAATTCATTCATTTTAAATTCATGTTATTTAAGTTTTACTTCAATAATGTAAACCACAATTATTTGTGTTAAGAATTATTAAAGCTAATTTTATAAACAACTTATAACTTTACTGAACAAACACATAACTTAAATGACATAGCATAATTCTAATATTTATGTTTGTAACATATATTAAACTGCTAAATTAACTTTCCTAAGCAACATATATTAAACTAATATTAACTTTCCTTAGGTACTTATACATCATGGAGTAATTGGAGTGAATGTTCTGCGACATGTCACATGAGTTATTGTGAAAATCCAGTAAAAACTCGTAAAAGATTTTGCCAAGCAGGTGCATTAAGTAGAGATGTTTATGACTTTCAAATTTGCAGTTTCAAAGTTCCTTGTCCAGGTATAGAATCTTTTTTAAGTATTTATTTCACAATTTTGATAATAATAAACGTTCTTTTCTTTAAAATTTTTACATATAATCTGGTTTGTATACTTGAATGTAAATATATATAACAATATATATATATAAATAAAAATATATATACAAGTATGAGTATAAATATATTTAAATATAAGTGTTTATAAGTTTAAATATGTATTTGCAATAAAGTGTTAAGAGTAGTACATCTATAGGAGGAGGGGGGAATGGGGTGATTGCCCCGTCCCCCTCTTTTAGAATGTTGTAAAATTTTGTATCTTTGTAAGTTTTTATATTAAGCAAGCAAGTTTTTTGAAAATGTAAATAGTATACTTAGGCTGTCTAAATAAAACTACAATTTTAATAAAATTTAAAATTGTGTGATTGCTTGCTTACCAATCATTAATTCTGAAAATTGCCCCCTCTTTCCATATTAAGAAAGAGGGGGCATCCCCTAAATTGATAAAAATAATAAAATCGCACCCTTCTCTTACGATATGGTCTGAATCCGTTCCGGGAGAAATAGTAAATGTACGCAAAAAGCTTTTGTATTTGCATTAGGCTAAAAAACTTTTTTGTTTGTTGTTATTTAAACTACTACAAATATACTTTTAGCAACAACTGGCAGTGAAAAGATTACTTTAAAATACTTTACTTTTAACAAACTTGTCTTTATTTTAGAAATTTTAATTGTTGTTTATGTTGGAAGTAATGATCGATTTAATTTAAACGACATTAAAAATACAAAACAATTAATATTTGCAAAATATTAATATACATTTAAGAAATAAACCAAATGGCATTTCCATAGGGCCAGCTCTTATAAATAAGAGAAAAATTGGAAACGGTTGCTAGAAATGTGAATACAGCAAGAAGACTTTAGCTGTGACAAGCGATTTCAAAAGAAAAATTTTAAGTTTTAGTTGCCTTGAGGTAACCAACTAGGTTCTAAATAAATCTAGTTGTACTAAATAAAGGAATGAACAACAAGGTCTACAAAAATTTATTTTTATGTAGTCATGTTTATGCTAGTCAAGTTTATATAGTTATGACATCTACATATTAAACGTTATGAATTAAAATTTACCTATAATAAGTTAGTAATTAACTTCATTCCTCCTTTTTTCAGCCTAATGACATATTAATATAAAAACTAGCTGGTATGACCCGTACGATACGGGTCGTGGCAAGTCTAATTCACACCCGACAATTTCTAAACTTTTTCCTTAGTTTTTATACTTTAATTTATTTTAGTAAACGGCAAAAAATAAATCAATTTAAAGTTCTGCTAGATGGTAAAATACGAACTTTAATTGTGAACCATAAATCTATTGTTTGTTAATTTATAATTAATTTAAAAGAGATCATATAAGACAGTTACGTGAAACTTAGGCTATGATAATATTTTATCTCACTCAAAAGGATTTATTTAAAAAGAAAATTTGGACATTGAAAATGGGCCCAAGAGACCTAGTTATTTCAAATTAGTTAGCTTTATTTGTTTGATATATTTTATAAAAGCCTTTTTGTAAAAAACAATTAACAAGTTCATACAATTAAACTATTTGTGATTGAGACTTAACGGAAATAGAAACCATCCTGATCGTACAAAAAGTGATAAAAGTATAAATGGTTTCCATTTACACATAAAAAGTATAAAATATAAAAAACAAAGCAAAAATAGCCAATATATATCCATTTAAAACAATAATAATAAAGGCAAAAATTGAAGGAATTTATTTGAGAAACAAACAAAAAAATTTTTTAAGATAAAATAAAAAAATTAACTAAAAAAAAAAATTTTTTTATATTTAAAAATACTTATAAAAACAATTTAATTTGAAACATGCTTTCATTATTATATATCTTTTAGTAAATAGTATGAAGATTATCAAGAGTCGTTTTCACTTTTTGAATACAATCAACATTCAGAACATTTCAGTCACAGGATAAGGAATTCGGCCCTAAAAATGGAACAAAATTGTTTTTGAATACACTTAATACACATTAATTTGTTAAGTATTCTATTTATTTATTTGAAAAATCAAAAAAGTGACTAAACAGATAACAAACATAAAACTTACTTTGTGAATTTTGTTTATCTTTCAAGATATATTGTTGCAAGTTTGTATTAACTAAAAATTTATGGTCACAGTAAGATAAACTTTTTTTTATTTAAAAAGTGAATTTTTAGCATTTAGCAAATGATTATATATAGTCAGTTTAAGTAATGAAACTACCCAATAATCATTTTAAATTAAAGATCTCGACGAGAAAGTAAACCAAGCTATCTAATTTATCAACACAAAACAACACAAAATTATCATCACAAAATTAAAAAAATAACATAGCATATTACAATAAACTCTAAATTACTCAAACCTTAAAGGGGACCAAGAAATTAGCTTATTAGAGAATGCTAGAGTTATTGGCAGTACAATCCATAAATAAAGGCTCAAATGAAATTTTAAAGTTAGTTTAAGTTAGGGGTTATTGAATTATACTGAGTTAATTGTTCATATTTTAATTACTAACAGCACACATAGAAAAACTAACAAATTACCACATTAGATGACACATAAAAATACTTGTCAAAAAATAAATTAAGGACATTTACAAATATAACATTTGTGAAAGTTTTATTTAATGACATACCTTCTTTATGTGTACATGCAAATGCTATGCAAATGACTTGTAATGCACGTGTAAAGCAAATAACTTGGTTTTAGAACATGCAACATATTTAATGTAGTATGAATAGACATTATTATTTTTAGGAAAGATACTACATATAAAAAATTAAATATTAAATAAATAAAAATAATAAAAACAATTAATCAATGTATTGAGTCTATTATATTTGAGTACAACATCTTTCGTGTTGTAGCAGAAGAAGCTGCATCTACATAAAAATTAAAATTACAATAAAAGTAATCAATATATGAAAGAAGTCAAAAAAAAGTGTATATAACTATTAAATATTAATTATAAGTAAAACAATAAAACTATTATTCTCACTTAAACTTGACTTATTACATTGATTAATTGAATTAAAAGAAATATTTTTACGAGTTATGATGCTTTTACATATATCATAGAAAGCGTAACAAAAAAATTGTTAAATGAACCTTTTTGTAAAATATTTTCAAACTAAAAACTTTTATGATTTTGTTCAAATTCTTTGAAAATATTTATTCAATAACTTTTGTAGGCATCTAAATTAGCATATTTTGTAAAAAAGTCAAGTTAGATTTTTTTACCGTAAGGTTTTTTTTAAAAATGGCTACAGTATTATAAAATAGTATTGTACAACAAAAGCAATCAAATAATTTACTAAGTCAAGTATGAGTACAACAACACTTATTGAGCCAGAAGAATCAGCTAGAGCTATATATAAAAAAATACAACATTAATACTACATTTTATCAGTAAACTCACAGGCCAAGTCACAACACTTTACATTCATGGAAAAAACATAACTACTACAAATAACACATTGAATCATTTTGTATATTACACACATTGAACAATTATAAAACTTATTGAATCATTGTAACACATATCGAATCACTTTGTATATTACAGGAAGTTATAAATTTGTGAAACAGAATTTATGGTTGCATCTAATTATTTAATATAAAAATTAGATCCCTATAACTGATACAACAGATAATACAGATTATAACAGAGTTAATAAAGATTTGAGAATACCTTATCATGTGGTCAAAAATATAAAGTGATATAATATATGGTCAAGTGTAACAATACGCACGGATGAGTAACACACACAAATAATTATACAAGACTAATTAGTTTGTACTTAGGACTAAAGGTTTGTCTAACAGCAAACCTATAACAATAATACTGGAACAAAGTAACACGATGCTCCGTTTAATTGTGCCACTATCATCATTTTTCTCCTCTACTTTGGCTATGTTATTGCAAATGGTTATTTGCAATAAAATAGTTAAAGTAGAGGAGAAAAATTTTTTTTTCTTGGTTATTTAAAGTTTGTAAGATTTATATTAACTCATTTATACAACCACCACTACCAGGTTCCTCCATTCTTAATGACACTGCTACATTAGGATCATATAACTGACATATAATATACAACTGATATATCTAACTGACAGTACGTGAGTAAAAAACCTTCTTTGAGCCTAAGTTTTCCAACACGATGCTTAATTTGCCCATAATCCCAAAAATAGAAAGGACAGTTTTTTGTGGAATGAGGTGTTTTGGCTGTGACGGAAGCAAAAGGTAAAAAGGAATTATAACACCTATCATGATATCTTTTATTTCTACGGCAGTTTATTTCAGCTTACCTAGGCACATCTCTTTCAATTTGGCGACAATTAAATCCATTTTGCATTGCCTTTTTTTTTAATTTTTATGAAGCCTCATAATTTTACTTCTTTAGTTATCAGAGATAACTAAGCATCAAAGAAGTGTGTAAAAATGATGCCAAATAAAATAAAATTTTTACTTTTATTTCAAGAATAAACTTTTAGTTTTCTTTCTTAACTAATCTAAAATAGCAATTTGTGTAAAGATAATATGTTTCTATAAACTAAAGTTATATATAAATTGATATGAAGCTGATTAATTGATAACTGAGTAATGTTATATATTTAAGGTAATCATTAATAATTGTTGACAAACATGATTAGTTCTTGATCAAAAAAACAATAAAAAGTAATTAATTGAAGTTGAAAATAAAAAATTGAAAAAATTATAAAGGCTATCTGCTCAGCAAATACTGCAAGTATTAAGCAGTGAAGTGTAATGCTTTGTCAAAAATTCCCTTTCATTACTTTGAAACGCATTTAATGCAAGATTTGCAATTAAAAAGTAAATAAAAAACTATTATTTGTCAATACAAAACTTTTAATTTAAGTATTTTATAGAAACAGTACACAACTTAACTGACATGGACAACAATCTTGCTTCCAACAAAGCCAAGTAACAATATAACAAAG